TTATAATATTATTATAATATAATATTATATGATAATATAATAATATTAGAGTTATTAATATAATTATGATATTATTTGTTACAATATTACTATTATATTATATTATATTACGAGTCTGAATTTTAGATTGGGAAGATTGTAAATTTTAAATTTCATTAGGGGTATTATGAAAGTTTCATTAATTGTACTATGTTGATTCTCGCACAATTTAAAAGTTAAAGTTGTTTTTAAGCTGCTTCTGATTTTAGCTATAAATTCTTAAAATTTTTTTCAAAAAGCACTTTTAAAGAGATTTACTAAATACTAAAATCAGCTTCTACTTCAAACATAAGCTGATTTTGGAAAGAAAAAGCAATACCAAACTAAGCCAATATTTTATCCTAATCCATGCTTCCATTTTCAATTATTGCCTCACATTCTCACCTTTGTTGGGGCGGATCGTCAAGAGACTCTATCCCGGCGCGGAATACTGTCCTATCTATTTATCATATGTATTATGATATAAAATGGAATATAGAGATAATTAAAAACACAAATATAGTTTACCATTTTTATAAAATCTACTTTTTATTTTTGAGAACTATATCCGCACGTATTTGATATTTGATTTCAATTTCGACCCTTTGGCGGATTTGGATCAAAATTAATTACTGAAAAGACTATTTTGCCTAAAGAGCATTAAGAAGGACTTCTAAGGGACATGTAAAGGACTTATAAATTTATTCCAAAAATAAGTTTCCGAGAATTACAAATAAAAAAAAAATCATCAAAACCCGTATTAATTTGACCCAAAATCAAAGGATTATGGCTGATTTCAGACAGACAATAATTCACCATCTCAGTAAAGAAAAACAACAATATAGACCCTGATCTAGGTTGAGTTAATTCTTTGCGCCATTGTACATTACAATTGGGTTTGTTTGAGCCTCAAACTTCATTTTGAAAAGAGGGAACATCTCCTTAGGCTTGTGTTTAATTTTTGGTTTCAATTCTGGTGTGTGGGTAGGTTTATAGACATTAAAACCCAAAACCAAGTCGGGAAACATAGCTGAAAAGGGGTAGTTGTGAGATTTAAAATGTGTTCCCTTGTCAACGGGTGAAATTGAAATTAAAATGCCATGCAAAGGGTGTGGATGTAATTTCAAAAACTATAAATGGAGTTTTATAAAAATGAAATTACGAGGTAATTTATGTAATTATCTCGACAAATATAATAATTGATCACTAAAGGCTTCATCACTAAATTATACTGGGATAAGCTCTAATAATAACAATACAAAACCCCCAAAAAAAAAATACATATGAAAATAAAAATATTTGTAGACTAACTCTTTTCTCTTTTGTTATCTATTATTTTATTTTAATCATTTTAATAAAAAATGATTCTTAATTTATTTACTTTCATATTATTATTATTGTCAGGGAAAATTTAGTGAAACCTTCCATGATCAATTATTTTATATTTGTTGAGAAAATTATATAAATCATCTCGTTGTAGGGATTTCCTCAACTTGTTGGGCCTAGCCCACGCATTATGACAACTAATATGATGATTGTTTTTAATAAAAAGTAAAAATGATTATTTTGAGAATTATGTTAGAATTGATTTTGATATTACGTTTAATTAATTTTTTAAAAAATTATTTTGAGTATAATAAAAAAATAAAATGTATTTATTAATTAATATATTATAATATTATTAATAAATATTAAAATATAAAAACAGAAAAGTAAAAATAACTTTCAACTGTTTTTTAATTTTTTTAAAAAACTATTATTATTTTTATTTTCATTTTCATTTTAAAAATATTTATTAAATAAACGTTATTTTATTTTTATTATTTTTACGTAAAAACCGTTTTTAAAAAAAGCTTCTAAATACAGGCCTTTTAAGTTCACTTCCACTCCTTTGAGTAACGGAAAAAAAATCATTGTTGAGGTGAATAGACCTGCTCTACCTACCCCATATCGTTTGTCGTTTTGTACTCTAGTGTTATTTTAACCAAACAATTTAATTTTACCTTGTTGATATCGAAATGTTGACTCAGTTGCTTGCCGTAATATATCTGCCGCATCAGAGTTAATAAAGAATGACATCTGCAATGGTGGATTTGATGATTCACGGACAGCCTCTATAAATCTCTCTGCAACCTGTTGTATATATATAGGGAAAAAGAAAAAAAAAATGAAGAATTAATTATGGAGCAATTCTTAAAGATGCAAAATGCTTTTGATACTATATATGTTTTCTATTCAATAAAAGAACGCTAAGTAACTGATGAAAAATTTGTAAGCTGCAATTAATTAAGAACTCACACCAGGCTAATTCTTTAACATTCACAAAACCGTCGTCTATTGTGCGGCACGGAAATCTAAAAAACGGAGATTTTTATACCGTATGTGTCAAGCACCATAGACGACGGTTTCTTACAAAACCGTCGTTAAACATACGACTTCTTAAAGATTCAGAGTTATTATGTCACGTTAATATTTGAGCATATATATATATATATAATTATTAGAATAATTTTATGATTTCTTGTATAAAAAGAAAGTAGGACAAAAAATATTGGCATACCACTTTGGGAGTTAATTCTCCAGATGTATAGGCTCTTGAATAATCTAGTATGGTCCATCGTCGAAAAGAAGCGGTTACACCTTCTGATATATTTTTAAAGGACATTCGCATGCAATTAACTGCTTCTTCAACTTTTTCTTGTGGAGATAAATCATACTCTATGCATTTCACCTCTTGTTCTTTGACATCTGTCTTAACAAATTAGCACAATATTCAGATTAAAAAAATATATTATTCAAAATGTTTGAAAAAATTCCTTATCTTTTCTGAAGTTTTATGTTTTTAATTTATGGTTTTTTGTGTTTTTTAAATGTTTAAAATATTTTTTTAGAAATTATTTTAAAGTATTTTTTCTCCTCTTGCCCCATTTTTGTTGTCCTTACAATGCACGAGCGATCAAATTTAAATAAAATTTTTGAATTTTAAGGTTATATACCTTTGTAGTTTTTAAAAACATAAAAAGCAATTGAGAAAATCTTAAAACTGAGAGTTTCATTTTTGTAATTAACCTTTTCAATAATAAATGTCACGTGTCATAATATGCATACATGTCACGTGATAATTGTGTGATAATGTGTTTGATCTTCTTCAAAATTTAAGACATAAGATCTTCACTATTTTCAAAAAAATGAGAGGTAACAAAACTTAGGGCTCGTTTAGTTCGCTGATTTGAGTTTTTAATTCGAGTTGAAATGTGACTATGTGAGAGCTTTTTACTGTAGCAAAAAAGTTAGATGTGACTGTTTCTAAGAGCTTTTTACTGTAGTAAAACTCGAATCGGTAAATAAATAGGGCCTTAATTGCTTATAGTACGATTATACGAATGTCCATGGCCTTAATCATTCGGTATCACATTTTGTAGTGTTATGTAGTGGGACCATGTATATTCTAATCAACAGCTCAGAAACTAGACAATTTTGTCACATATGCTCTTTACTATATGTGTTCTTTCATTAAAAAGCTCTAAAGAGCAAAATGCGAAATAATACTGCAAACAATATATAGAAGCCATACATTAATCATACACATGTTGGTAGGGTCCACATATTTTCCTAAGGGGACTAATATTATTCATAAGGGGGGCTTCCAAATACGGAGATACCAATTGATCACTAAACTGAAAACTCAACGCCATATTCACTATAATATATCCTGTAAAGTTACTCTTTTATCCCCCTTTTTTACAAACTTTAAATCTACTATGGTATAAATTATTGTCATTTTGCATTATTTGAAAAGTTGGGTCATAAGGACATATATCTCATCTATGCTAAATCGAAAAACTTATTATACTAATTAATTATTAATTTGCAAAGAATTAGTGGAAATGGTGAGAAAGTAGACCTTCAAAAGGATGTAATGGAGTGTAGATTGGTGGCTCTTCCAGCTCTGCATCTGTTATAAGCTGCATAATATGAAGAGATTCGAAAAATATATACTTGAATGTGTTAAAATGGCTCAATAAATTATTATTCAATACATATAAATTTATATATATATATATATGTTTACATTTATATGCACATGCATGCACGAAAGGAAAATTAAAAGCTTTGTATAATAGGAAAGAAACTGAAACATCATTGTGAAAGGTGGGGTTTTCCATTTTCTAATACAAGGTACATACCGTGCATACCTATCATGTTTGAAAACGCTACATAACCTCCTCAGTACCATTCAAATAAACTTTTGTTTATGAGTTGATATGTGTCCGTGAGTCTTATAGAGGCCGTTCACTTCGTATATCACATTCGAGTAAGTTTAATTTGAGTATGAAATTAGACTGAGTTATATATTTATTAAACGCAACTCGAATTTCAAACTCGAGTAATAACTCGAGTTGGTGAGTTTCACTCACCTCTTATTTTCCCATTACTTAAGTTTAGTTCTACAGTGTGGATTGTCTCTGCAGAAAAGGACACTTCTTTGTAATTAGAGTTTGGCTTTAGTACAAGTGAACACAAAACTCAAGTTTTAAATGTCAAATCAATCTCCTCCTAAACACTTAACTCAAAGTCCAAATTACACTCAAATTTTTTACAACTCAAATCCACTTTCTTAACTCGAATCAACAAATTTGAGTTAGTGAAGTGAACACGCTTAGGGCCCATTCACTTCGCTGATTTGAGTTTGTAATTCGAGTTGAGATGTGATTTTATGTGAGACCTTTTTACTGTAGCAAAAAAGTTAGATGTGACTATTTCTGAGAACTTTTTACTGTAGCAAAACTCAAATTCTAAACTCGAATCGGTGAAATAAACGGGGCCTTAATCCGTTCATTTCGTTAGTTTTGTTATAGTGTTTTTCTCATAAAAATTTAAATTTAATTTTTTTATTATAATATTTTCTCTCATATGAATTCACTTTTAAACTTAAGTTCTTAATTAGAACGAACAAAATGAAGGAAGATTTAATTTTTTTTATTATTTTTTTTAAGAAAAAAGAGCTGAACAAGAAACCTTTAGTTCATTAAAATTTGACTCATATATGGGGGTTAAAACTACTCCCTTCTATTGTTTAGGATGGTTACTAAAAGCTAAATTCTATCGGTTATTGATATTCTAATGATCAGGTCTCACGCATTTACCTCCTGATCAAAGGTTCTTAGCTACCGCTTAGTTTTTTTTTAAATAATAATAATAGTAATAATAAATATTAAAAAAACAAGATGATGATCTTCAATAATTTCTTACGCATACCGCTAATCATATTGTTCTTTTCCCTTCTTCTCACTTAGCTCCTCTGTAGGTTTATGATTATGGTCTTTTAGATTTGATTTTTTTTTCCTACCAAAATTTGTTTTCTGGTCATGCGCAGCTCTTACCGACCTAGTCGTTCATTAATTACGCCTCGTCTAGCTTGTTTGATTAAATGAATAATACAAACTTTTTCCGGTAAGACTTCTTTATGAAAGAATCAATTTTTAACCGTTAAATTTAATTAAGATCACATTAAATTAAAAAATATACAGAAAAGATAATTTTTAATATAGATCTCACAATTGAAAGTGAAAAATTTACAGATTTCTTGAATAAATAATTGAAGCACACTTATTTTCTACTCCAACATTATTACCCAAATCATCCATTATGTCTTATCTACCCGTCTAACTTATTTTACACGATGGGATGTCATGATTTGTCATCTTTATCACCACACACACATTTTTTTTTTTAATCCACCACACACACATGTTTATAGGACAAATTTTGTTTTTTCACTTTGAACCTTAAAACATAACTTGTGTTCCCGCATACTAGAAACCGTAACAAATCTAATCCTTGGACTCGTAAGTTTATGGACGGAAATTGGGGGTATTTATGTAATTCCATTTTTTTTTTTTTGATTTTATGACAGCAGAGTGGTAGAGTCAAAAGTTTAGCTTCTTCCAGTTTCACTTTTTTTTTTTTCCTTTTCCTGCTGTAATTCTTCCTTTTTGACTTGATTCATTAAGTAAACATGTAATTATTATTGGAGGACCAATTTTTTAGTTATAAAATTTATTCTCAACTGAATGCGGACATATCATTGATGCATAACATATAGGCTATGGCTTTATAAGTACTATTTAAACTCACAAAATTATAAGATTACTTGCATTTTTTTTTTTTTTAAGGTATGGTTACTTGCATTTCAAGTATAAACAAAAGTGATTACTAACTAAATAGTGTAACTGAGAAAAAAAAAATATAAAGAAGTCCAATGATTAATAAAATATGCACCGTGGATGCAATTATTGATATATTGTGGGAAATGCTCTGCAAAATTTTAGTTATAAAAACTAAAATAAATAAATAAATAAATAAGTTTTCTTGGAATTACTTAAACAACAAGGCTTCTCTATTATGGACCTCTTTAACCCGTACTTTGAAGGAAACGCTTTATAATAACATGGTACGTATAAGAAAAAAAATCAACTTTTTTCTTTTTCTTTTTCTTTTTTTTTTTTTAGCTAAAGAGATGGAAAACAAAAATGGGATGTTTTCAAAGAACTCATATGTTGATCAAATGTTTCTCTTCAAGAGTAAAAGATAAAATAAAATGACATTAGAAAACAAGAAGAGTCCTTTGTGCTTACCTTATGAATTAGATTGTTTCCCTTCAATACGTACAACAACAACGTCCCCAAGATTCGAGACTCCAAAAACCACGCAAAAACTTTCACCAGAAATCCAGCCATGCGAGGAGCTACCACACACAAAAACATAAAACTAATAAAGCCTCGTTCGCTTCGCAGATTCAAATTATTTTTCGATATTTTGTATCAAACAATCATATAATTAATGGCTTAATTCCAATCGTCCGTTCTATGACCAAACCAAATACAAGAACAGGGTTTAGTACTCCAAATTTTCTGTTCAAATAAAGGAGATAAAAACGAAGAAAAAAGAAGAGCGAATTATGAGAAACAGAAAACAAAATACAAGGAAAAAGGGAAATGGGTGATAGATTTTGAACCTTTGACATTGGCTCGTAGATAAAATTCTGAGCTATCATTGGACAAGTCGACTTCATTTGCAGGCTTATAGACGACATTTTGATCAGTTTTGAACAAACCCATTATCTGGTTTTCGCCAAAAATGAAGAGCTTTCAAACAAGGAGAGGCCAAGGGAATATATTTATGTAACAAAGAGGGTGAAGAAGACAAAATTAATAGTAAAAAAAAGGGTACAATAGTGTGTATGTGTACACACACACACACACACACACATATATATATATATATATATATTTCTATATATATAAAAGAAGGACAAGGCAAAATTAAGTGTTATTATTAGGGATAAGGGTGGGGAAGGTTAGAGACAGCGACGGCCTTTGTGTTGATATTGTGCGTAGTGGGAAGGAATCATTTTGAAGGGATTCTTGAATTTGATAGAGGAAACCAAAGTTTTGTTTTGATTATAATTTATTTTTTTTCAGCTTCATCCATTTGTTTCTTTATTGGGTTACTTGATAGAGATATCAAGGTATTTTACTATTTCTATTTCTAAAGCTAATTAATGTGGTTTAGTATTTGGGTGATTCTACCTGATCTCTTGACTCTTCAAAGTTCTTTTTTTTTTTCTTTACCAAAATATCCATTTCATTTTCGTAAAAATATCAATATTTACGGAAATTTTTGTAGAAATTTCATAATATTTTGTGAAAAAGATAATAAATCTTTATTTCCATATCAGTACTTATAAAATACAGAAATTTTGATAAAAATGTAGATTTTATTTATCCTTGGTGGTCAATGTAACAGTCAATACAACAAGAATTAGGGACAGACCCAGCTAGGTGCATGCCCCACTCTTTTTAGTTTTTTCTTCTATTATTCAGCATTTTACATTGGAAAACTGTCATTTTACCTCCTATTTCCCCTCATTTTAATTATTTTGAATTATTTTATCACTCTTCTTATATTTGTGTTCTATTAATAATACTTAATTTTCACATAATTTTTAATTTATGAAGAAGATATACATCTAGTGCCCTAAACACCTTATAAATCATATTTTATAAAATAGAAGGTATTTAAGCTATTTCTTATTTGGACAAGATTTTAATTTAATATAATGTTGTATTTAGCATCTGCGAACAAAAATGAGCCACAAGACTTTTGGCCATAACAAACAGAAAATGAAAATCGTTTTTTATTCATTCATGTTAATTAGGCAATCAATGAATGTATTTTTATTTGTTTGTCATACTTTTCTGATTATTTTAGGCATTTTCAAATAAATTTCCCTCTCATATAAAGCATATATAAACAATTAAATATTTGTTGATTTACATGGTAATTAAGCTTCCACTGTAACTTTTAAACTCAATGTACTGCCCATCCTATCAGTAATTTGTATTTTAAGACACAACACTAAAGAATTTTCCTCCTTTCAAATAATAAGTAAATAATTATGTACTTTGTTTATTCAATGAAAGAAAATGATATATCTCATTATCATCTTCGACCACGTTTCTTTTTTTATTTCCCTTCTGATCGTGAATCATATTATTTATTGTCATACATGCACTGCAAATAAGATGTCTAGCTACAACTTGGTCCCGCGAAAGGTAATTTTAGGCAAAAGAAGGAAGAAGTGCGTTTAACTATTGAAAAATATTTGGGTTAAAAATGATTCTATTTTATAGGACCTATGTTTTAATAGCGTATGGTGCTTAATATTATTGTCTAACGATTTACACATCTAATTATTATGATATTGACTTTTTTAAACCTAAGCTCGTACGCTTTTGTTTTTAGACTTTACTCCAGTAGGTCTTATACCATTAAGAGATGATGTCATTCTTTATAAACACTCATAATTTTATCTAAGTGATGTGTGACTGCACAACTTACCTTATTTTAGCCGTTTTACCTCAAGAGATAGATGGCAGTTACTGTCGGAGAAGCTAAATATGGCCGACCCTTTTTGTTTTTTAAAAATAAGGTTCAAAAAATTTGTGATTTTCTCATTTTATCTCATTGAGATTCGGTTTTCACATGTATGTTCTCACAACCTCACTTTTTCTATTTTCTTATATGCATATTTTTTAAAAAATAAAAAATAATATATGCCCACACTAAATGTGCTTCTCAGCATCACCAGTATCATATTAATATAACATTATTCAATTACAATCTAAGATATATATTAGCTAGGTGTATTTAGTAACTTCTAAATAATAATAATAATAATAAGTGTAGCAGATTAGAAGTGTTTATGTTGTAATAGAAAGACACTGACTATTTGAAATCTGACTGTGTAATATCAATTAAATGTCATCCTTAATTAAATTGAGAATGCGACGGAAAGTTTTATAATTTGCTAAAGTCAACATGGTAATAAAGTAAACACAACAAATTGTCACGATTTGGTAAAAAGAAGACGTTGGTCTGAGTTTCCTAGGTAGAAAAAGAAAATAATTTACTCACACATTTCATATCTGAGCACCTTTTTCTGGTGGGTACACCAAAACCTAACCAAAATGATTAACTTTTGCTTAATTTAGCTTGTTGAACAAAAGAAAAAAAAAAACTCTAAATTATAATGGAAACTTAACTGCTACACCAAAAAGTGTAATTAATAAAATTAAATGTGGGACTGTCAAGTGAACATGTTAGAATTTCCAATCCAACTCATCTAACAACCTGTCAATATCATCAGGAACTACGTTTTGAAAATGGTGGAATCTCCATATATATGCTTCATTTGATTCCTTAGTTTTTTACTATTAGCGTTTTCATGGTGGATATTGGAAATGCAACCAACCAATAATATGTGGCATCATCTTGTTGGATTGAAAAAAAAAAAAAAAACTAACTTTTATATTGCTCTTTAGTATTACATTGAGAACCATGTGAATTGTGACGTGAGAAAATACTTTATTAGTTACGTTAAGGCCTGTGCGCAAGATAAGATAATATAGTTTTAGGGTAATGGTGGGAATGTATAAGAAACTATAGGATTAGATTTTAGTTTAATTCAATCCCATGTTGGTGTCGTGTTATTAGGATAAGGTATTTTTGTAAAAAAATTTAAAATTTATGATTAAATTGTATTTTTGTCAAACCTTAAGGGGCAAAAATATAATTTTTGAAATATTTTACTTATATAAAAATTAAAATTTGACCTCTTAACTTTTGAAAAATTATAATTAGACCTTAAAGTTTTTTAAAATTATTAATAGGTCCCTAGTGTTTTTCACAATGTGCTTTAGTCAAAAGTTATCACATGCTTTAATAGGGGATAGCAACATCCCCTTCAAGGAGATTTGATAGATTTATCCAATTCAGTCCTTTAAAAATGTTCCCCAAACATAATATTAAAACTTAATCTTATTCAGTGCTCCCTAATCTTGCACACCAAACGAGCCGAATATAATTAGATTTTATAAAATTTTGTTAAATTATTATACTTTATAAATAAATATATATATATATATATAAATCAAGATATGTATATATATTGTTTCCTTAATTTAATATCCAAACCACATTTTTTTTTTGGATCTTTGGCCCACACATTTAACTTTACCCTTTAATTCGAGTACACGGAGCCGTCATACTAGAGGGAAGAAAAGATTGACAAGCTCGCTGCAAATATTAAGCTGAAGCTTAAGAAATAAATTATAGAATGAAAAAAAAAAAAAAAAAAGATTACGAGATTTCATGATTCTCTTTATATTTATCTCATGAGACTTTCTTTGTAGTCTTTATAAAAATAAACTACAGGTAATCTCTTACATTTCAATCGTTAGATTTATATCAAAATTTATTTAATCTGTATACTTATTCAATTTAATGTAATTTTAATCGGTTAAAAATTAGAACTACTAATAGGGTAAATTACCGGAAAAACTCCCTTATCTCACTCAATATAGTGTTGTGTGCAGAGTAAAATAAACACGAATCACACTTCATTTAAAAATAAAAATAAACAAAAATTTGTAAGGAGGTTGATATTGTAAAGCGAAAGTTAAGAAAGTTTGATTTCAACATACTTCTTTCTTTCTTCGTGATTCCTTATAGACTCATAAATATAACAAAATACAAAAAAAAAAAAAAAAGGTTGAATTCAGCTTTGTTCCGAAAAGTCCAATGATAAAGATAATTAGACAATGGTGAAGAAGAAGATAGACCACAATGTTCTATCACTGGTGTTCTTCGTCTTGGGTCTACAATTGGTTTCGCCGGTTGCAGGTAAAGAGATCAAGATCAATAAGGTCAATTTAATCTTTTTATTCTCCTAGGTGGTATATTACAAGCCCTCCCACATAATTGATCAATCTTTTAATGGTCTACTTCTTGCTGACCCTTTTTTTTCGTGTTTTACTTATATTAAAGATCAAAGATTTTGGTGCCACAGTACTTCAAATTTTCAGTATTGCAGGAGTTTGGTCAATGCACCTTTTTTTTCCAATTAGTTTTTTAGTTATTGTTTCTTTCTTTCTTTCTCTTTTTTTTTTTTTAGTTTTTGTTCTTTGTTATATATTTGACCGTGAATAATGAAAATTGAACAACCGTAATCACGCTTGCTTGCATTGTATTTGTATGATAACTTTAAAATTTACCGAAATATTGCCTAATCATGTTAAAGTTGCATTTCTAAAAGTGCAAGTTATTATACGCAAATATCTTTGTTTAGTTTAATTAAGGTTTAATGATCAATTTTGGACTAATTCATCAATGTATCCTCGTCATTTTAGGATGTGTCACATTTTCATAAAATCACACTCACTGATTTCTATACTCTATCGTAACGTCTTGGCACCAGTCACTGAAATAACTGGTTGGTTGTGACTAATAATCTAGCAAGCAGGATAAGTGGTCAAACCACCGCTGGTGACTGTAAAAACCACTGCCAAATTCTCAATGGTTACCTACCAGGTTACTTCATCAACAAGTTTAAGGGATGTATTATATTTTTGAGGCGAAATAATAATAATAATAATTATTATTATAATAATAATAATTATTATTATTATTATTATTATACGAACAATAATAATAAAATTGTTATTTTTTCACTTTACAAGTAAATATGAGTAGGTAAAAAACGATAGGATCACTTTAC